GTAATGGTATTGCTATCAAGTCGTCTTACGTTCTCGAAACCTTCAAAAAATTTTGGTGACAATGCACGGCATAGTATCAGACTTCAACTGGAAGTGATCTTTTACCTCTGTGAACCCTCAAATTTCTTCCCACCATACAGCGACAGTCTAAAGGAATCTCACAGACTTAATCTTAGTTTCAGTACAAATTATGACCATATTTACACCAATGAGACCATATATGATTGTTTGGGAACTGAAATATATCTTGATAAAAAAGCAAAATTGAAGAAACACTTGAAAAACAATCTCCAAACAGTTAAATAACGCCAAAATATATTAAAAACAAATGTTTGTGAGGAAATGACGTCAACGTCATTAGACGACGTCAAAAGTCCCTCGCTTTTTAAAATAAATTATACATTGTCGCTGAACAATGTTTTCAAACGATTTTTTTAATTCTATAATGAAAACCAAAACATAAATGAGCACATGCAATAAAAAGGTTATAGAACAGGTCTGGTGTGCCTTAATGCGATATGGGTCTACAAGATCGGTATTAGCCCTCGGGCTCTTTTAGTGGGCCAAAATCGAATAAAGGCACATCAGACCTCTGTAATAACCTATAAATATATCCCGCCTCTAAACCAATGAAAATTCGTGAACTTTATTAGCAGTATTATAATTGCGGCTAGTATTGTGCAATGTGAGTTTGCTTTTAGTCTTCTTGGAATCCATGTTGTTATTCATTACTTTATATTCTAGCATAAAACTGCCGTTATAACCATGATTTCGGGGTGTTTTAACAGGACCAAAAAGGTCTTTTAACAAGGAGATTCTAGCGCTCATGCGCTGTTAAAACACCTTTTTGATATACGTTTTCCGTGGCACAGCGTCAATACATTGTGGCCCGGACGCTGCTTAACTAAAACGGAAATGACGTCACGGTCACATACAACGCTGACGTTCCCGTGCAATCCGAGGAAAATCAGTGATGTTGCTTGATTGTGTATGGATTGTGTTAGATTTATGCATGCTTTATGCTAGAATAGCGTTAACGAATGATTGTTCCGTGTCATAACAACTGCTGAAACCCTCGGGATACGTTGGGTCGGGTACCAACTAATCCCTTGGGTTTCTACAGATATTTTAACACGAAAAAAGAAACATGCGTTATTCCTATATTATATCAGAGTTCTTTAGTACTGACGGCTCATCTAGGGTTCAATATGGCGCGGTTCATATAGTTATTTTACCAGTAATATCTATAAAGGAAAGGGTTAAATGAGAATCATGAAGGAAGTTGAATAAATAAACTTAAAGAAAACTTAACATTTCTTGTAGAATATGATTGGTCTTGCGAAGCTATAATTACACGAGGTCATTCAAATATCTTGCAAGCAAATTCGCTGAATTAATGTTTACCGCCGACAGCATCATATACTGATTGAAAATTAAACAATTGCAGGATACATTTCGAATAAAGACTCCGGGGAAATAGTCGGTTAAAGCATAAATTATCAGGGCCCATATCACTCAAGGTCACGGCGATAATGCACATGCCCTTTTTGTATTGAAGGTTCCCACACAATTAAAATTAGATATATTTAACATTTGAAGACATGAAATACTTAAGTTATCTGACTGAATATTAAGCAACCAGGGGTCTTAACTTCGGGTAAGTGCCGTCAATATACACATCTCCGCTTGGTATTAGATGTACCCACATAGTTTTGTTTAAATTATTCAGCAGATTTGTTGAAGAATAGGGTTGAATTAATGCTTTTCTATGAACAATAAATGATAATAAATTATGGATCATAACTCTGTATTAAACGGCCAAACGGGAAATACTGATGATGATGATGATGATGATGATGATATGCACATCTTGTTTGTTTGTTTATGTGTTTATCTAAAGTCGCCGCCGGAAAGCCCATATAAGCGACCGTACCCTCAAGTCGGACCAAATCCTTTAGTGTCCCGTCGAGATTTTTCGAGATGCGCATCTCCTCTTTATATTAAACTAAATTTCGTTGAAAATTCCTAGAGCGCAGAAAAAGCAATAGTTCTATATACAGTGTTTTATAAATAACAACAACAACAAGGGGCAATAAGTCTGTTTTTAAAAAGAAATGGAGATATGCTGGTTATATGTGCAACTGGTTTGTGAATGAAGGTTCCTACAAAGTTGCAGCATCGATATCCATCCAGAAGTTGCTGAAAAATAGCGTGGAAACGAAAAATGATTCCATATACAGTGTATAATAACTAATCAATGGCCGGATAGTGCGGAAACTAAATCTGGACTGACAGGCGGACGAACACGCTAAACAGTCCCATCACTCCCGATTTCATCAGCGGGGAGGGGATAAAAATGTCTGTAGTTTTAGTTCCAATAATTGATTTCAGTCCTAAAAATTTGTGACGTTTGTGACTCAGTGAAAAGCATTGAAGAAAACAATATTTATCTCAAATTTGTGACATTTGTGATTTTAAACTCGTGACGAATGTGATTGTCTAAAACATTGGATCACATGCATCACAAAATTTGTGACGAATGTGATCTCATTCTTCACAATTGTGACGAATGTGATTTGTGACACATGTGGCCTTACAAAGCTATAACGGTATCTTTTGTGTTCTGTTACAAGCTATTTATATGATTTTCTAATTTTTACCTTAAGCTAACTCGGCTTTGTCTATGAATTTCTACTATATTTCTATGTAGGGAAAGGCTCTTTTACCCTACGCAAAATGCGCATGCGCGAGAAAATACTACTTCCAATCAATTTTTCATAGCAACGGACCGCGTCGTAAAAAGGTCTATATCAACTGTTCTTAAACATTACTCGATTTATTTATAAATTGTTGGAAAATTTGGGAGAGTTTCTGACATTTTGTCAATTTTTCATATTTACAAAACATAATTGTTTATTAAATACTCTATCGTGAATAAAATAAGACTAGTTTTTGGAATATGGCTGTGACTTTTTAATACACTTTGGTTCTAAATAAATGTCCTGGTTAAGAATATGATATTCAATTAAAATGTTAATGAGAAAAATATGAAAGACAGTTTCCAGCTAAATGCCTGAGTAGCTCCATATTAAACAAGAAGTATCTTTAAAAAAAAAAGATACTTGGCCAGAGTAAAACTGGTTTTCTTGCATATGTTAGTTCTTAGGTTTCCATGCAAAGTCATAAAGATATGTAAGCATAGTGTGCATAACAATGACATGATCATTTCTTGTAGGGTTATTAATCTTATAAAAAAATGGAACACTTTAAGATGTTTGTGTTTCTAAACGAACCTGTCGTATTTCGGTAAGTGAACTCAATTTCTAACACCAATATCTACGCAGTTGGCAAGGCAATTATTTTTTGTTTTTATAAATATTTGATTTATATGCAAAAATGTATAAAACCTATAAACATTATATGAATTGAACACATCAAAAACATATAATATATTAGACACTTATTGAACATCAAACACTGATGGTACCTGATAAGGTATGATATTATTCTCGTTATTTTGGACAAAATTTAAAACTCAGATCTTGTGTAAAAATAAATTTAATAAGTTCTTATATAAAATAAACTGTTCATGAGAAATGTTATGAGATCTGAATGCACGAAGTATTGTTAAACAAAACTTAAATACCCGAGCAATTTAACTAGACAGTTAAAAAACTATCCCGTACATATTATTTTAGAACTATCCTATACCTTTTATTCTATAACGAAGCTTTTGATTTTTTTCTAAAGTATGCGTTGTCTGAGATATCGCACGTTGCTTGATTTTTGAATTATAATATAAATAAATAGACTACTATTTACTTACAAGTTGTTTACATACGAATAGCGTAATTAGACCGAATTGCCGTATCAGTTCTGTGTATTTGAAGTCCATATCCGAAGTTTGACGGAAATAACCGGGAGGTTTCAATTGATACTCGAATAACCCAAGTTGTATTGATAAATTAACATATATCAATATATTTTCTCTTTAAATTGACTAACTCTTGACTTATAACTGTACACATGTAATTCGGTCAGGAACAAAGTAGCATAAAACAATATTAGCTTAATGGAAAAGCACAACTGTGTCTCAATTCTTAAAAATAAAACATAAATGAATCAGTCCTTCATTCCGCCTTATCTGTTAAATCGACAATTTTGTTCAATTTGTGTTGAATAATGAGACTGTTACACCATTGCAGTTGTTTGTTCAGGACGTAAATTATAGGAATATTCTCAAATAGTCCACTCATTTTATAGATTGTTGCCAATAGTCTTAACTTAAGATATAATCTAAACATACTCGATGCAAGTGTGTTTGTCGGTAATATTCTGTATAACCACGGATTGTAACTGTGCCATTAGAATCACATACTTTTTGTATTTCCCGGTCATATATACATGTATATATCACTAATTTATATTTACCGTTTATATCTATGCGTTGGAGGGTCATTATCTTATAATGGCGAACAATAACCAACTTTTAACGTTTTTTATTAAACAATTCAAGACTCTTTGCGCTCTTGAAAATACTAAAAAGTCTTAATTTAAGTTAAATAACCTCTATATATTCAGATGAGACCTTGTTTTGTTTTCTAATTACTAAACACATATACAATCAGATATCGTTTGTTTGGTGTAAACATGGCTCGAGTGGAAATAAAATGCATCTTTTTTAACCATTCTCGAGTACTAGTAGACTACCTGAAAGTAGAAGAAACATTGTCGGGACCCCAAAAAAGGGAAACATACAAAGCAGAAGGTTGATGCTACCTTCCTTGCTGTTGGTGGCGGGAAGTTATATTATCCTATCTTAGTGGCTGACTAGCTAATACATGTCGAGCGAAGATAATTATACAGATTTATTGGAAATTAATTGAATCTTATTATCTATTTCTTGAAATTCATAAAAAAGAACACATGCTTAACCCCAAAATGTTCTGACTGTGAAATTTAACACAAGTTGCCAATAACACATATATGAAATTTTACAGATGCTGGCCGCTGGCTCGCTAGCATTTGCAAAAGCATACAGCTCAGTGGAAAAGTTAGAGCACGAATTGGAAGCAGAGATACAAAGAGACAAAGAAAATGACCCTGACAAAGGAAAAGGAATACACAAGTATGTATACTTAAATACAATATAACTTCTATTTTATGATTTAGATGGAATATTGAAAAATATCAGTGGAATGTGTTTGTCACATGACATCATTTGATACTTGTGTTTCTACTAGTAAAGCAAATTATAATTCTAAACCCCATCAGAGCTATTTAAAAAGCGCCTTCTTACATTTGTAAGATAATTGCTACCTTCCCCTTTACATTTAGTGCTATGAATAATAATTAAAATGTCACTTGACGATATAGAGATTTTGACTAAAACGTGTGTTGCCTACGTATTTTATTTTTATAGATAGAATACATGAATTTACGTTTTCGCAAAAACATCTAACGTTTAATTAGTTGCATGCTTAACTTAAACTTCGCGGGAATAAAACTATACCCTTAAAAGTCTGTTTATACCTCGATATGATTAATCTTTATTCTCGCATGTTTCTTTCGGAGAACTACCGATATGACTTATTTTCCAGTACCATTGACCATAGCCAAAGTCCTTCGAAAGGGAATGTTTAAACTTGCTTTCTTATCTTTCATTATAAAAAAGGGACACAAGAGATTAAGGTCAACATCTTGCATGTTTACAGGAAATATTTAAACTGGGTGAAACAGGACACCGTAGAAGCGTAAAACATCCATGGTAGGATACTACGTTAACGCGCACCTGCAAAATGCTCCCAATAGGTCTGTTTTTTGTCCACTCGATAAGACTTCGTTATAATATCAAAAATAAATGTAGCGCACCAAAGATTGTCTTTAGTACTTGATTTAACTTTAAACTGTCTGGTTTAAGCCTGAAAACGGGATAAATTTTGTGTGGGAGTCATGGTTGGCGTATTTATGGAAAAAACTTTATCCCGTTTTCAGGTCTAAACTAGGCAGTAAAATTATTCCTTATACTTCCTCCTCTTCTTTCACTTTCTTTATGACGACAGACTAAAAAGTTCCCAGCTCTATAGAGAGATAAGTAGCTTCTCCGAGTCACTCAGTTGAATTTTCTAAGAGTTACAGGAGTTATATTATCAAAAATGCACTAGGGTAATCCGCCAGTTGAGAAAAGGTGGTACAAAGAAAATAATTTTGCCTTTGACATTCAATCTGGAAAACATTTCATGACTTTTACTGGTTACAAAACAAATTTCGAATTGAATAGGTATTTTATTATAAAAGCTTTACAAATCAGAAAACAAATAATTTGTATATTCAAACAGTCCGAGATAAATGTATATAATACTCTGTATCATAAACATATTTAACTCTACTTATGTTCTAACTCAAATATCAAGTAAGATTTATCCCTGAAACAGAACTGATGGCAGACGATAATATATTTCATATCCCTGATATGTTGATGGATGTAGAATAACGGATAAATGCTTATTACTGAGGTATTGTTTCATGTACATTATTCACTTATTAAATAAAAAAATATTTCTTTACAAAATAAGTGTGCAGAAAGTAACATTAAACAACTCTGATGTTTATTGCCTCACCTACCTTTATCATAACAGATTTAATACCTTGTAACATCAGGTGTCATGCCTAAGAGCATTCAAGGAGATGAATAACAAAGTTTTGATCTGAATAGGTGTTTGCTGGATTATCAATAGTTTGGTTACAATGAATTGGGACTGAAACTGGTGGTCTTAAAAGTGGAGGATAAGTGGGGTGCTCTTAATTGAACAGGCAAATCCGTTCTTTTAAAAATTGATCTCTTAGAAAAGGGGTGGTTTTAAATCCGGTGTGGTCTTAAGAAGGGATCCTGCTCTTCTCTTTATTTTTTTAAAGTGCTGTCTATCAGAAGTTAAAAGCAGTAAAGGAGAAGTAGACAATCAACAATATATCATTGACTCCGCCTCTGACAAGATGTTGGAACTGTCTTCTAAGATATCTTTGTAGAAATAACTAACTCATACTGTTGGAAAGAAAGCATAAAAAATACACGTCAGAGACAAACAAATCGTGATCATCTGTCAACTGAATGAATATAATTTCCAAAATGCGGCGTATTCAAAGTTTGTTTGACGTGTTTCTTTAAAAAAATGTTATTTACGAACGTTTCCATTTTACAAGTACTGAACTAGATGAGCAACTATTTTTTCAAATTTGCAACAGATTGGTAAAATCAACTTTTATGAGTGAGAAAATAACTTCTGTAGGTGTCACGCAGGGATCTGTTCAGGATCCGTTGCATTTTCTATTTTTTCTTTATATATCATAAATATGCGATATTTTCTCGAATACACCTGTACTGAAAACGATAAATATTCACTTTGATAAATACGTTGGTGTTTTTTTTTGTATAGGAGAGACATGCAAAAGTGGATAGTAGTTTTGAAAGACCATCAACGAACGTGCGTAACGTGTGTAAATTTAATGCGTATCTTATTAAAATTTATTCGCAAAATATCTCGTTTTGTAATAACTGTACATCTAGTATTGAAGACACCAAACATTACTTTGTAAATGTTCAAACTATTTCAAACACAACGTGAAGCTATTCTGCGTTACTTAGTTGAGTAAAATAGACAGAAGAACAGATGGGCTTGTTATCAGTGCTCATCACATTACCTAACATTTTTGAATTTGGCATCAGTACGGTCATAGAGAAAACATTTGTCGTAAATTCTTTAAAAACATTGTCAGTTAAGACTTTGCGCTTTACACTTTACATTTTAGTTAAACTCAAACTTTCCAAAAGAAGTTCCTTTATAGTAACTATTGGAAAGAAATGTCACTTCCAAACATTCTTCCTCTCTTAATTCCCTCCCTGTTTACCTTCCTCATTTACTTCGTCCCCTTCACTTTCCTCACATACCCTATCCCTCTTCATTTTCCTTCTCACTCCGTCCAACTTAGCTTCCTTCCTCACTTACAATGCCCTCTTTATCTTCTGCGCTTAATACCTTCCTACGACTCCCTCCCTGTTTATCTTTCTTACTTACTCGGTCCCATTTCGCCTCCTTCCTCACTGACAATACCCCTCTTCACATTCCGCTCTCAATATGTCCCTTTTCACCTTCTTCAACGACTCCCTTCCTGTTCATCTTTCTTACTTACTCTGTCCAACTTAGCCGCCTTCCTCACTTACTACGCCCCTCTTCACCTTCCACACCCAGTATGTTCCTTTTCACCTTCTTCACATACTCAGTCCCTTTTTACCTTCCTCTGAAACTCCGTCTCTCTTTACCTTCCCAACTTACTCCGTCTCACTTTACCTTTCTTAATCCGTGCCTCTTCATCTTCCTCACTTTACTCCGTCTCTCTCCACCTTTTTCACTACTAGTAACTCCGCCCCTCTTAACATTCCTCATTTACTCCGGTCCTTTGCACCTTTCTCACTAACTCTGTCCCTCTTTACCTTCCTCACATACTCTGTCCCTCTTGAGCGTCATCACTTATCCCGTCCTCTTCACTTTTCTTGCATACTCCGTCCCTATTCACCTTTCTTCCCTCTTTACCTTCCTAACTTACTTCGCCCGTCTTTACCTTCCTAAGTTACAACGTCCCTCTTTACTTTTCGTACTTACACATAATGTTTATTCTCATGTGTGTGACTTTTTTAGTGTATAGAATATATCATAAATTCAGTAAGAGTGGGTACAGTAGGTGAATAATTGTACTGTGACAGTGGCAGTGACATGGTAATTATGCAAATAAATGACTTTAAGAAGCTTGCATAAGTTAGAAAATTACCTCCGAAAATTACTATAACAATCTTAGAAATGCCTATGGGACTTCAATCTTATTTAAACGGATGTTAATGCAATGTAACAATGAGCCAGTCTTACGACTAGATTAGAAAATCTATACAAGCTGCCAATTAGGTACTAATTAAGTCTCATGGTCCGCATATCTATTCAGAAGAACTACGCAACAACAGTAATAATAGATAATAATCTATAGTATTACACGTGAATATCCTGCTTGACAATATTGGAGCAGAGTGTTTGACAGTAGAAGAACCATTTTCTGGCATAATTAGCGAAATAACTATTGTTGTAGAAAATTCATTTTGTGTCGATATAAGATTATCTTTCTTGATCCGCTAATTATCCCGAGCAATAAATAAGTTTGAACAGAACATAAATACTTTTCCTATTGTGGTTGATTGCTTTGTTTTTAAATAAATTAACCCCTTATAGACACACGCATATCTTAACTTCATAATAAAAGCAACAAAGTATTAAAGTGAAAATGTAAAAGATATAAAGCTTTATCTGACGAATTTGTTTTTGTTTTGTTATTTTATAAAAGGTAAAATTATACGGGGAATTCAAAGGCCTGGTCCGCGAAACGGGCTTTGGCTTGCCCGGCTATAAATTACACATTTATATTTAAAAGGAAATCAAATAAAAAACGATTAATAAATGTATAGATTTCTGTAACTATCAATGAAATTCTCAATGAAACTAAATGATAATAGGCGAGGTATTCCGATTACGGAACAATCGCACTTTTTCGGCTCAATAATAATCGTCGAGGTGTTCCGTGTAAAAAATGGAAGTGGTGTACGAAAAACACTTTTAGAAAGAAAAATGTAAAATAAAAACTTAACAATTATTTTTACTGACCCTCCCGTTCAAAGGCTTTGCCTTATTTCATTTTATTGTTTCAATAATTTTCTCGAAAAAGTTGTATTCACACTGACCATAGCTTTCGCAGCAGCGGTGGGTCTATCGCAGCGGCGGTGGAGTATTCGTCGCAGAAGCGGTGGATAAAATATGGCCGTTTGTTGATGTCGGTAAGTATATGACTGAATTTTGTTTTATGTTTTAATGTTTTACTGGAAACACTTAGTGCGACTGGAGCCCACATGTGTACTCTTTCAACTTATTACACACAGACGGTGCAATTCATTACCGTTTATGCAAACACTTCTGTACAGTTTCACGAGCGGACGCCACTTTTGCCTAATTTTGGTTTAAACACCTACAAATGTGTGCAAACGACCCCTTAATACAACGGCATCACATCGTATGGATGATACTTTTACAAAAT